GTCTGTCTTCGGTGACTTTAATGAAAATTGATTTAAAATCAAGATTGTCCAAAGCAGGAAATAAAGAGATATTACTTTTTTTGACATATATATATTAGCCCTACTTCAAACTCTATATTATATTTTTTCAAAACTTGGGATATAAACTTATCCCTATAAGAGTAGTTCTCTGCCTATAAAGGCAGAGAACTACTCCTTTAAGCAGCCTTGGGAAAAAATTGGTGTGAACAACCTGATAATTTTACATTTTTTTATTTATCATTGAATATTTGTTATACAAGTGAACAGAGTAAGCACATTTACAATAATATAGTGATAATGAATAATAAAAATTGAAATATCAAGCATATTATTCAATTTGTTCATTTCTAAATTCTTTGGCGAGCTACCGGGAAGCGGGTGGCGAGCTACTGGTGGCTCTCGAGCTACAGGTTGGTGCCGGGAGAATCGATCAGTGCCATTCCTGATTGGCTCTTTGGTTGCTTGGTAGATTTAATCTCAGACTTTGGCCCCAGATTCCTGCCCATAGAGCCTGTTTGAGTTAGATCTAGGAAAAGATGACTCCATTCTAAGGTCTATTGTCGACAAAATATAAAATGAAAAACAACTCTTGGAAAAATAATTTTTCAAGAACTTTTATTTCAATGACCAATATATAAAACCTTAAAGAACAAAACTCATTCATAAAATAGAACATTCATGTCTTTAAATATGTTTTGACTAATTTGACTCTATACAATAGACAAAAGGGACTTTGCATAAAGTTATAAATCTATGAGCGTTCAGCAGAAGCCATTCGTTGCATAATGAATAACAGAGCCAGAGTTGCATAGGTATTTAAAGGGACGCATGCCAAAGGTTTCAACAGTATTTATATATATGCAGAAACAGCAAAACAAGTTAAATATTGATTACATGGGCGTAAGTGGTTCACAGTGCTACATATTTCATAAAGCTAGATATGGCACTGGATTAGCATTAAGGCAATAAACATACGCACACAGTAAGAGGGTAAATATTTGTAAAGGTGCTACATAACAATCATTTACTTTTAACAGGAGGTTAAACACTAGAACCCAGAGCAAAAATGTCATCCCTTTCAAATCAATGACATTCAGAAAAATAAAATCCCCAAAAGTTAGTTTTCCACCAGTTTTATTAAAAAGTGAGACATTTAAGTAAGTACGTTTTATCTTTACTCCCTTTTAATAACGTCATAACTAATGAATAATCTGAAAAACAGCAACAGTTTGTTGATAGGATACATGCCAACTGCCGGCAAGGTAACATTGTGTTGCTATGGTAACTAACACTTGCTCTTCTCTGATGGAAAACCAAGCCGAGGCTCAGAACCAGGACCAGTCAGGAACCAGTCCAAAACCAGTCAAGAAAACCTTTAATGTGTAAAGGTAAAACAACGGACATTTCAAAAATAAAAGATGATTTAATAATAATAATAATAATAATGACAGAAATAAACTACATATTGAAACAGAAAAATCTTCAATGTTCTGCTTCCAAACTAAATGGTGGCCGCTGAGTTCTAGTGTTAACCAGATCTTACCAACCAGTGGTTAAAGTCACACATTTACAACAAAACTTTTTGTTCAGTACCTGAAACTTGCGGTAGAAAATATTTGTGTTTTACAGTCTGCAGTCATGCTTATCACTGTGTAAAAATACAAGTAGTTTTTCCCCCTTTTGCCCTATATTTGATCAGATCCTGGAAAACACCAGACTTAATAAAACAAGTGAATATGTTAAAATTGATCAAAGTGCACACAGCAGCACGGGTATTCTCAGGCTAATATTTAAAAGTCCTTAAATGTATTTGAATTTTTGTGTGAATAATACTTGAGGTCGGAGTAAGACAGAATATCCGCAGCAATAGTATTCTTTTGTTTTCATTAAGAAAAAATACAGTACCTTTCCAAAGCAAAATAACATTAACAGTAGCATTTCCTGTTATGTCTCTGCCGTCCAATCAGAAGCCTTGCTGAATGAGAACTGTACAGAAACAACTCCCAGGTCCAGTTTTTAATATTCTCTTTCGCAAAACATACATAACCGTACTTTTACATGTGCAGAAGTAAAAACCACAATCAATTAGCTACAAGAGGCTGGTTAACCCGTCGTTAAGTGTTGCCGCGGTAACATGCTAAAGTCAATAAGAGCAGCTCTCAGCCGGTGTTAAAAAGGAAGAAGTTAAAGAGCGTGCGTCATCGCGTGGAGGCGTTTTAGAAGCGGTGTGGAACCAGCGCAGATGAAAACAAGCGTCCTGGAGCGGTGGATTTAACAGCCCGTAAAAAAGGGCGCTGTGTTTTTTAAAAGCTCACCGTTCGCACCGTCGTCTTGGCATCGGCAGAGACGCTCGAGGAGACGTGCAAAAGTCAAAGGGCTGTTGTTTTTAACGGTGAGATAAAGGGTGAGTTGGTTGTGATGGAATGAGAAGTTAAAAGCAAAGAAAGTGAAGAGGTTTAAGAGCAAAGTCATTCTGGTTTGGGCCAAAAGTATAAAAGTGATTTGCGATTATATATTCTTTTTTATGACATAAGTTTGGATGTTATTTTCTACTAGGTTTAGATCCAATCACAACGGGGCCAAATATGTAAAAAAGTATGATTGAAGATTGATAGGAAAATATATAAGATTCAATTATATGGTTGTTTTCCTGTGAAACTAAGATTTAAAATGTAGAAAAACATGCCATAGTATTCCATGACCATCAATGCTGCAAGTTACTGTGATAATGATATTTGAAAATCATTTGGGGGGCCACTAAAAAAGGGTCTTGCGGGCCGGATTTGGCCCACGAGCCTGAGTTTGACAGGCCTGCCTTAGAATGTTGATTATAACAGGGAGGGTGTGGGCCGGACCTCATTTTTATTCTATTTTTATTATTACTTTTTGGTTTTGTCTTTGTTTTTTTCTGTAAAAAAATAAATATATATTGAATTACTTTGTTGAATACTTTCAATAAAAATACTTGAAACAGAATGCTGATTAAAAATAATTTCTGCAAATAATAAAAATGGACATATCGCCCATCCCAACTTCAAACTAGATTATGCAAATTAAAGCTGAGAACCTCGCTTTCAAGCAACAACAAAATAGAACCATGTAATAAAATAAATAAAGTCAAATCCACAGTTCCTCACTCTCAGATGCAGGTTTTCACATGTTTGTATTTTAGGCCTGTCACATCTTTAGATTGTCCTTTTCAAGCAGAATAGTGAGAAAGTAAAATAAAAAACAGTAACTCATGGGGATTTTCCTTGCAAAAGATTAAGTGAAAATTGAGAAAAAGATTACGAAAATGTAAGGTACCCAAGCGTTAAAAGTATGATACATATAAGCTATTTTGTAGATGTAATTCTTAAAAAAATCTACATTTATCAGCTGCCGATCACGAATGAATGACAAATCCTTCGTTTCAAATCCACTTCAAAGTTCAATGTGTTTTTCCTGATATCTTGTTGTTGGTGCTGTTGAAATGAGACGTGTGTTAGCCTGGTGTTAGCACAGGTGCAGAGCCACAGAGGCTTTGGAACGACTCCCATTTCTGCTCACGACGGAGAGAAAGCACGAGCCTGAGTCAGGGCTGATAAGAACGTCTCCGAAATGAGCCGAGGATTTGAAATGAGGCGTTTTTTAAATGACTTTTCATTCGTTTGTTTACAGTCGAACTGGATAAAGCGTGAATGAGCTGTTTTGGTTTGATGCAAAATAGATAAATATATATGTTTACAATGAGCTTAACTTTACATCATTTCTATACATCTAAAATAACATTAGTTTAAAGCACAACTGTTATGGGAATCTCAAAACCAATTTCTCGTATGAATCTTTTTAAAAAACAAAAACATGGAAACAGGATATGATTCATTTGGCGTGGTAAACATATTTCTTTTGAATTCAACCAAAACCGGTTTGATCTTTCATTCAAGATGCACTGCAAGACTTTCCTGGTGCTGTTCAGGTTTAGAGGCGACAGTCAGTGAAGAAATACACTTTTTCTTTGTAAAAAAACACAATTTATGATGAAGACAATGCTTCATACGTGTAAAACTGTTCAGTAAACATTAGGCGGTGTAATTCTGATCATGTTTAAAGGGACTGTATGTAATATCACTACTAGAACTTAACTCGTAACAATTACAACCACTCTTTTGTTTCCAGAATCTAACCTGCCTGTGGCACACGTGGCTCCTAAGCACTAAATACTGATGCAATCCAGCTGCTGGGGTTTCACTGAAAATGGTCCAAACTCTGTGGTTTAGTTATGGCTTCTTATCTTTGCATCTGCTTTATATTTTGTTTGAATTTTTGAATAGCCAAAAACAACTATTTCTTATAAAAAAATGGTGAACCTCATTCTGCTCTCTGATTGGATGATCAGCTTATGCATATCATGTTCATTGCATATTGAATGAAGTAAGTAAAACACAATTTGTAAATGTTGACCTATTATCTGAGGACACATAAAAGATGTTTAAAATAGATAAATACATACAGTCCCTTTAAGTTGTGTTTTTACAAATCTCTTCTCAAATGAGGATAGTGACCATGGTAAAGCCGAGGCCCATCAAAGGAATGAGACATTTTGTAGCAGATAAAGTAAATACTTCTTACTTCATATACTTACGGGACTATAGTGTAAGTGTATTTGGTCTCCTGGTTACTAGCCTGGACCAGACTTCTTTGTGTTTTAAATTTATTCTATTTAAAAATGTATTGCATTCTATCTGACAATGACAAAAGTCCTCCTGCTGTTGTGATTAAGGGATTTACGAACATTTGATTGGAAAATAATTGAGCACTGACTTTGATATAAACTTAAATAGTTAAAAACAGCTCAAAAGCATTACCATGGCAACCATCAAGAATCAGACCACCACCAGAAAAGTGACACGATGCACCTTTAAATGCAAAATCTGTGCTTTCAAATACTCTTTGGAGCCCACACGCCCACTCTTACTGGAACCATATCCTGGGGGTCCTCAGGTGGGCGGCGGTCCCTGGTAGCGCAGCATGACGTTGAAGGAGCGGGCAAAGTTGTTGGTCAGGGAGCAGGATCTGGACTCCTCGGTCAGCGGCAGGAGGAAGGCGAGGAGGAAGAGCGCCAAGAGGAGCAGCCACAGAGGAAGAGCCAGGCAGCACACGCGATACAGCAGACCGGCTTTCTGTGGCCCAAACACAACCAGAGAAAGGACATTCATTTGAGTTCAGCAGTGATTCTTAAACTAAGGCTGTAGGACGTGTTGTTTGGACGTGTCGTGGATGTTTGGGTTAAAAGTTATTGGACATTAAAGTGGCTTCTGCCCAGTGCCATCTGTCGTACCTATAAACCAGGTCCAAAGCCAACTGTGGGACTCGTTATGATTTTATGTGGCCCGCTGCCTCGCTCACCCAAAACAGTGATTGAGATCATAAACACAAGTTTGCAGAATCATCCAGCCAACTCCAACTCCGCCAATATTAGTAAGTAAGTAAGCAAATAAGTAATATTTATTTATATAGCGCATTTTACAGACCAAGGTCACCCGAAGCGCTTTACAATGTTCAGAGTTCAGATATTGTTCCAATCATTCCACACGCGGTGATGACGGAAGCGTTTAGAAGCACAACTTTCAGTACAGCCTCAGTCCACCTCCTACAGCAGGGATGGGCAACTGTTTTCTTCAAGGGGGCTACAACGGGAAACCAATTTCATATATATTATATTATTTATATGTGTTTGTGGATATGTTGTTTGTAGCAAAGAATTACTAATAATCATGAATGAAAAAAGAATAACTGTATACCATAGTAGCACATAATAAGCACAAGCCTTCATTGAGTATTGACTCCTGATTCATTTAAATAAGAAAGCAGGAGGTTAATGGCTGGGAAGGGTCCAGGGGCAGCATAGGAATGTGAATCGGGGCGGATGTGGCCCAGGTTTGTCCTACAACCTGTCCATCCCTGGGCCTCTCCAAGGTTTCTCACTTCTTTGAGTCATTCATTGCCGATTCAGGAGGATCTAAAGACACTGATGATCCGGGACATTTAAGGAAATGTATCAACAGTTATCATCCGTCTCTCTATAGACCAATGGCTCTATGTGTTATTATTGCATTTCCTCTGTTCGAACTGTTTGATTCTCTGATCTGCTGTTGCTGATGTAGCGAGTGGGAATGACAAAGTGAACATTAGTCATCCAGCCAGAGTCATTGAAGGCGTTCAGAGCAAATTAATGCAAATTCCATCAACTAGAGCTGGATGGCTTTGAGTTTGCAAAGGGGAACTACACACCCTTGTTTACAATATATAATTCTTTAAGCACATTTTGGCATGTTTCGGATAGATTGTCTGCTCACCCCTAAATACAAGTCTGCTGCAGGTTTAAGAGACCTGCTGTGACTTATAAGGCTGAAGAATGCAATGAAACACCTGCTTAGCATACATAATGAAGGTCCCTAAGGGCGTTGGAAGGAAACGGCTACTTTAAGCTATATTGAATGGAAAATGCATCGGCTGAGATATACAGCCATCTGAAAGTAACCAGCCTGTATTCAATCACACACAAATGGTGCGCTGTAGTTAATGCTAGTTATAAATCCTTGCGGCTCTAAAGCACATTTGTTGTTGTTCTCCAGTGAGGTGCTCCCCTGAATAACACACAAGATGGATGAGTGTTTGACTCTGAGCCCATAATTAGTCCATTACAAATAAACCATTTGTTCCACTTTGCAAACAGCCTGCAACAACATTTACTTCACTCAACCACAGCAACTAATCACAAGAAAACAAGGATTAGGCCGTACATGTCTTGTTCTATACAGCTTTTATACACATACAATACGACTTCCTGCTATGGCGCCAACCCGAGAAGAAACTGAATTCTTAATAAGCATACTTCTCAGAAATATTGTCAGTAGAAAAATGGCAGACAATACTAAAGCTGTGTTACCTTGAAAATAAAACATCATGCTTTTAACTGACAGAAAATGGCTGTTGACCTGTTGATTCAAAAAGCCCATAGCTGGTTATTGGCAAATGAAAAGGGGTGAAAGTCAGTAACAATCCTTCTTGATTCAAATTCAATTCAAAGCTTGAGACAAAATGTACAAACCAAAATGTATAAACTGTTATGACGTATGACATAGGTGGGGGTCCCTTTATTTTTCATAAATAATGATCAAATAGTTTGTCCTAACAGAAAGAGTCTTGAAAAAGTGACCCATATGTCTGCCGTTGTTATGTTGTTGGAAAAGATGGCATATTTTACATACATCCCTGTCTGTCACTATTTGTCGCTTTGGGCTTATAACTAATTGGCTGAGTGAAGGTGTTCCTCTCCTTTTCATTTTACTAAAAGAGAGAAAAAGATGCGATAGAGGCCAAAAAATATATGCGTATGAAAATTAGTGATAGAACCAAAATGTGGTTCTACTGACAGCAAGGAATACATGGATTTAATTATGAGTTTGAGCGGTGATAGTAGTCCGTGAAAAGTCTTCAAGCGACTGAATTAAGTGACATTTCTGCAATCCAAGTCACACCTTTCACTCAATGTGTGGAAAGCCTTATATAAAAAATATACATATGAAACTACATCCGCACAGCAAGATCATATTTAGAGAGCACAGAGACGGACACCTGTGACTCATCTCCACCGCCTACCTCCATCCTCTCTGAGTCATAACCGAGGAATAAATGTAATAATAGGGAAGACATGGAGAGTGCTGTGACTGCTGAAGAGGAAGATATTGGGAAAGTTGAAGCACAAAAGCAGCAGGTCTATTAGCTAAACAAAAAGACGACTGAGAAAACGTTGCTATTCAGTGAAATATCTGCTTCCACTCTTTCTGTTTCTAACTTAAAACAAAAATGGCTTACAAAGGTTGTATTTGACTGAAACCGAAAAGTCAGTGTGTTTCAACTAAGAGATAAGACATAATTGTCTTGATTTTGTACATTGGAGTCAACAAGTACATTGGATGAGGAAGTTATGCACACCAAAAATCTCTTTCCTCTTATTTTTTTCACATTATTATTATCATTATTTTTCTTATTGTTTTAATTGATATGTTTGTTTTACTATTTTATGTTATCTTTTCTTTGCATTATCAATGTTGCCTTGTGAGGTTTTTACTTTTTTTTGTTGAATTATGACATTCTCATTCTAAAGGCAAAAACTCAAAAATAAAGTATACAAAAAAAAATCTTTCTGAGCAGATGCTGGAAAATATCTTGACATTTTTAAAGAACGCATTGCAAACCCAAGTTGTCATTGCTGAAAAAAAAAAGTAATTTGCAACTTGAGAAACACCCCTGAGCCAAAGTGATGAAAGTTGGATACCGAGCCATGGATGCTGCCAACTATCTATCTGCATTTGAAACAGACTGGTTCATTAATGGAACAATTGGCATCACTTCATAATTGAATTGAATAAAGCAGATAATATTGAACACAAAAAAAAAAAAAAATCAGATAAACTTTGCACATCATCTACCAGAGAAGCTACAGGGAGCATCTACAACAGACGCGACAGAGAGAGCACAGACTGGGGCCGGGTTAGTAACTGATTTAAGACTCAGGAAGTGAAACTACAGCGGACGCCGGACCTTCACGTGTAAACACAAGGCTTGGTTTCACCTGCGACACCATTGCACAATCAGATTCTAGGAGATTTTCAGCAGGTGGATGCAATACCAAAGTGTGCGTTTGCAAGTTGTTTTGGTGTTGCTATGACAACAAAAAAAACACATGCGAAACAATAATACAACCTGGTCATCAGATATCGCAAGAGCAATGTTTTAACTGTTAAAATAAAGGATACATTAACAAAAGAAGTTGTTCCCTCATCTAATTTTGATTATAATTATATCATTATTCAAAAAGCACAAAATCAGACCCATTTGACATGATCCAACAGCCTTATATAGAATTAATTAACATCACAGAATTGCTGATTCATGTCAAATAGCGACTTTTAAGTGATGTATGCCTCATTAAACTTCCCAAAAAAAACAAAAAACCATAGATGCTCCATTAAACTCACTTTCAAAACAGCTTGGGTTATCACTAGTTTTCACATGTGTGTACTTTCGGCCTCAATCACTTTTATAGATCCGATTTTTCAAACAGAAAAGTGAAAAACAGAGAGGACCGCCCTCACTCGGTAAATCAGCTCTCAGCCCAAAATGTCAATTTGTGGCTCAAAGGGCTCTCTGTTACTAGTATAGAAATAGAGTATACATAAAACAACATGTTTTCTAATAAATATAGATACAATCAGCAGGTTGTAGTCTGAGTCTTGTAAGAGTAAAATGTGTAAAAAGAATCATTGCGCTAGGAGAGAAAAAATTAGGTACCCCAGCTTTACAGTGCCTTTACAGTGGCTGGATAATGGCCAGTTGATGCTTCAGTTTCACAGTAGTAAAGCGATGACTAAATCCTTGGTCAATAAAAGTGGCCCCGCTGCTCAGTGAAGATAAAAGTCAATAGAAGTGGAAGCTTTTAAAGTGTGTGAATGGGAGGAATGTCTGCGTCTGCGCTGGGTTCGGGCCGGCAGGACACCCAGAGGAAAAGCCTTCTTTAAATCTGCCCCCCACTAGTGAATGGGGGCAGAGAGGGGGGAGGGAGGCTTCAGCAGCGCGGGTGGTCACATCAAGTGTGATTGTTTAGTTAAAAAATATGCATTGTTTAGTTTTGCCTTATGCTCTACCATCTGCAGGTTATTGTCGATACAAGATACCAAAGATGCATCAAGTCCAAAAAATGCAATATTAAAACAGTAAGATGAAACACAGTAATATATTAGTGCAATTACAGTTCACTGACCTTTTGAGGCTTGGAGTGGGACTGTGTCTGGGACTTCTGCAGAAAGATAAAGATGTGAATGAGGACAATATTATAAAAACACTATATAGAAAGTTAGATTAAGGCTGGAGTACCAAGATTTTTTGTGTTCATAAATACATTGTTTTCGTCCCAACTGAAAGATTGTTGTTTAAGCAACATGTAATGAACAAATCAGAATCCAACATGCTCTGTTTTATACAATTTTAATAAAAAAAACTTTTATCTTATACTGATTGGCTAAGAAAGATTATCTAAAGATTTGACAGAGGTCAAAAATACAATACTAGTTATGCTCTAGGAACTAGTTGCATGGATTCTGATTTTATTTCTGTGGTTTCAAAGTTCAGTACTTCAGCTCTAAGGAATGATTGTGAGGCACTGCCATCTAGTGGTGATATAGCAGCATCAGCATGACTTGGCTCGAAATGAAAGCTCATGAAATTTGACATGTAAACAGAAGTTGGAGGATCTGTCCCGTGTGAGAACGCTACTGATTATGACACTGTTATCATTTTTGTTTTGATCATGTAAGATTGTATGAATTATATTCTGTGATGTTTCGATTATGTCATATTCTCACTCACCACGCCTGCAGCTTTGACTGAATCTATATCCTTCAGCTTTGACTTGTAGAGAATCCATCTGTAACGCAAATCCTCCATTTCTGTAGATGTTTCCGGGTCGTCCTCCTCAAAAGTGACACGAAGCTGCTGGAACAGGTCCTGGCCACAGGGGACATTCTTTCTCAGGGTCTGATGAAAAAACAAAAGGAGACATTATCTTAATATGACATTGAAGAATAACCAATGTGTAATAACTGCTTATTTACAGTACAACAATGTCCAAATAATGTGAAAGGATTCTGGTCTACCACCAGAGGTCAGTGTAAGCTTTTCTTTTACACTTCACTCATGCCTTGCAGCACTGAGATGGAGGAATTCAGTCATCACAAATGAGTATGAACAAACAGGGTTATATCATTTGTGTTCATACAGCAAACAGAAATAGTTACTCCCACCTCCTCTGGGGTGAAGAAGACCCCTCCTCTCACGTCTCCTTTTTGAGACGTTTAGATCTTTGTTTGTAGATGCCACATGTATTGTATGTAAATGTATTGCAGTTCTTGTTACATATAAAAGTGAAAGTATATTATTTATTATTGTTTATTTGGTTGGGACAGTAAGTTAATGAACACATCACTCCGGATTGTAGCCATGGGCTAATTTCCATCCGTTGTCCCACATTTGCATTCACAAATACACACTCATTCACCCTGAACTATTGCATATGTTTTTTAGTGGTAAGGGAAACCGGAGTACCCGGAGGAAACCTACGCAGACACGGGGAGAACATGCAAAACTCCACTCAGACAGGCCCTATTCCAACCGGGATTCGAAACCCAGAACCTTCTTGCTGAGAGGGGAGAGTGCTATCCACTCAGCCACCGTGCCGGTGACTAAAAACACGCACTGCCACGCACACAAACACACACACACTGAGTGAATACAATTAGGGACCTTGTCACTAATTAGCTTTGAAGACTTAGTAATAAAACACGTCCTTAGCAACTTGCTGCAAAAGGCCTCTACTGCATTAGTCAGACCTGTGTATAAACTCAGTGCCACAGTGAAAGTGTGACAGTCTAATCGCCAACACCGGACAGTGTCCTATGGATGGGGGAGGTTTGAAAATATATATATGCAAATAGGTATTCTGGCGCATTTCAGAATATAGTTATAGTTATGATTTTCAGTTAAATAAATAGTTATGATTTTCAGTGAAATAAACGTTTAACATTCTGCTAAAAAGTCATGTATTGTCAGGTTGACATAACTTCTTCTATGACCGTCTTATTTTCGGTTATACAATAAAGAAAACACAATACAGTAGCTTGCCGTTTTACCTGGGCATACTACCGTTTACTTTAGACATAGCAAAAGTCTACACTTTATATGTTTGAGTCTCTATCGCCCTCCCCTAAACATATCTTTGACCCATCTTAAAATTCAGAACAGGTGTGAAAATCCCCGCTAAAATCATATTCAAAGATCGGATCTGATTTTACAAACACAGTCAAAAATAAGAAGTCACCTGGAGCTTGGCCTGGGTGGCCTTGAGTTCCTGAGCGTTCATTGGGACAGAATATGACGTGTAGACTTCGGAGAGGACTGCGTTCTGCTTTTGTAGCCACTCTTCAAACTCCTGCCACCTGGACCTGAACGCAGCTCTCCTCTCATCTCTCTCCTGAATCACAACACGCACACTTTCAATCACTGACAGCAGACATAATTATTATATTTCATTACACTAGTTTTGTCATTTCCATCTTCACGTACAGTAACAGTAAAAAGGACAAGGGACTGATATTACAGCACTACAAATGAAGTAGCATTCTCACCTTGTCACTCAGACTTCCAGCTCCATCAGTTTTCGTATTGACAGTGGTTATTCTGGTTGTCTCCACTATTCCAGACCGTGCTGTTCTGTCTAATGAAGCCTGCGGGAGGAAATGTGCAGAAAATATAACCTGGGATACTGTATTATTATTGTGAGCTATTGCACCGATGTATCTGAGAGAGTATTTTTTAGGATATTCACCAAAATAAAGTACAACCTAAGAATACTAATCCCATGCTCCACCTTGTTTAAATATTTGCCGTCCCAGTGGTGCCACATCTAAACCAACAGTCTTGTATATGTACCCAAAAGAGGACAGCAATGTGAATCTAAATGAATCATCTGTGTCTTGTGATTCCCAGCCGAGTCTGAACAAATCTCAGAATAACACTACCCAAAACTTCTGCCATGAAAACACAAAATGTGAAAGTGAAAGTACTCATCTTTTAGTCCGTTTTTTTTTACATTTCTTAAAATTTCAGACACAACAGAAAGGTCGATGTACAGTAAGAAGTTATGGTTTTCAAATTCCATATTCTTGTTATGCTCCTAAATACAGCATGTTAAATGATGTTGTCATGAGGTCACAACATTTTGGCTTTGTCTTGTAAGAACATTTTGCATCATATATTTGAAGCTTTGGGGTTGAGGGAACTTGATCTAAAAGGTTAGGGTTAATACGATTACAAACAAATACATGCATGTGAAAAGTTGTGATTGAACCAGACTGTTTTGAGAGCGAGGAACTAGCTACATTGATTATATGACAAAGCTCCACATTTGCAATTTCTAAGTGAGGTATCCCAGCTTTAAACATCTATTATTGGAATTTCATTGCAGTGGATTGGAAGAAATGTTTACTGCGAGTCCGTATTGAAATTACATTTTTCAGATTGATAAATTTATGAGATATATAGGCACCAATTATCACATTATCGTACGTTTCTATGCGTTAACTCATTCTTACCAAAGTGCCTTGAGACTGCTCTGTGGCTGAAGTCCTTTTGAACTGGACAAAAGCTCCCGCTCCTCTCCCTTCGTGGCTTAATCCATCAGCTGTCTCGGCACTGAACCTCCTCTCCTCGCCGCTCGTCACCGCTTCTGCCGCTCTCGCTGTCGATAAGAAACCCGCTCTGCCACTGCTACTGCTACTTCTAATTTCTCCCACTTTCAAACTATCGATGCCAGTCTCTCCATCCACTACCAAGTCTTTGGCAAGGCTTTGATCTTTCCTTTTGCGGAGGATCGAGGCGGGGGAGTCCGTTTCATCATCACCCCACGACGGCCTGCTGTCGGTCCGATCGGTACTTGAAAGCCTGGGGGCCCTTTTGTTTTCGGAAGGCACCACGAATTGACCCCGAGCTTGCCCGTCCAGCCAGTAGCTTTGATCCAGAATGTCGTCGTCTTCGAAGTCCGCGTCGAGACTGGGTCCGGGGAAAGTCAGTTTGCGGTAGATGTCGCTCGACCTGGCCCCCATTTGGAACCCTGGACTTGAGCGTGTGTGGACCGGAGAGCTGCTGCCCGCCACAATGTCCGCTGTAGATATGTCTGTTAGCATCCATGAGTCGGATTCGGTTTGCTCTGAGGAGAGTTTGAGAAGGCTGGAAGAGAAGATAGAAGATATGTGATAAGTAATTTGTAAATATTTACTTATTTTGCATTTATTTCTTTTTAGATTGTCTTTTGTATTTGTTTCTACAGTGTGGGTGTGTTTTTGGTTTTTAATGTTGCCAATGTGAAGCACTTTGGGTTGCATTCTGTATGAACTGTGCTATATAAATACAAGTTGATTGATTGATTGATTGATTTCACAGACCTAGGTCACACAAAGCACTTTAATTTTAAATGAAGATTTTTTAAAATTATTTTCAGTCCATAAACATACCTGATCACCAAATTTTACATTTACGATATGTTTTAGAAAGTTAAACAAATTCTTAAAGCTGCGGTACTCAACTTCCAGAAGAAAATGACCTTGTAATACAAATTAACCCAGGCTTTCAAAACTGTTGCATGTATGTATGCATGTATTTTTGGCCTCTGTCACAACTTTAGCTTTTTCAAACAGAAAATTGAAAAACAGAGTACCATGTTTGTGTAGCCAGCTCCCAGCTTAAAGCGTCAAATAGCTAAAGGGCAATGTATGCAAAATATGTTTTTGAACACTATGAGGACAGCATGTTGTTCTCAACATTCTTTTTGTTGGGACAAATAAAATGTATGAATGAGGAAAAAATAAAAGCCCAGCTTTAAGTAGTAGTAGTAGAAGTGATAGTGGTAATGGTAGTTGTAGTAGTAGCAGTACTCCTATGTGGCAAATGCAAAATTGATAAAGCAAGGATATTGAATACTGAAACACTTCTTAACATAGAAGCAGGAAATTAAGTTCTGCCATTTTAAACATTAAACAATTTCTGTAATTGACCGTTAATTAAATGTGATTTCTTCCGCTTGCTTCAGAATGCACCAAAGCACGAGCTCACTGGAAGCCAAAACGCTCTGACAAGTACATGCTGTATGCAGCTAAAATTCAAGGTGCAATGTATCTACTCCTGTTTAATGAAGTTATTTCTAGGGCACACAGATTTAAACAAGCTGAGAAGAGTTTTGACTTATATAATTCTCTAATGACTGCAGAATAAATTGGAAAGGTTTTCATCTGTTTGTCACAAGTCATCTCTATGCAGATGTTCTCAGGGGCTTTGCTTTGTTTAGGTATATTCACTGAACTATAGAGACCTAAACCGAGAGCTAAAGCAATTTCCTTGTCTGTGACTTCCTGTTACGTACATAGCAATAAAAATTATTCTGATTCATTAAAGCCCTAGTTAGTTCATTCACTTTCTTGTATTTTTTTGCCATTCTATTTCACAAATGAAAGTGGAATTGCATGTGTATACTTTTAGAATAAAACAACAATTTGGAAAAAGCAATTACTCGTGGTGACAGTGGAATCACCGATGTTCAGCGCCTGAAAAAACTGCTAAAGATTCTATTCATTTTATTGCAGGTTTCAAAAGTTAGATCATTATTTTAGTATTTGAAAGAGTATTTTTAAATTAACTCCTTCACACTACTCTCAGAACATAGCCCATAACTATAAATATATTTTTTAGTTACGACTTCCCAGTAGGCTTTATAGTTATGTCCCCATGCCTACTTATCATAACTTACCGTTATGAGTTAGCACTTGAATATGAATAAAGACAATACTTTACAATACATTAATGTTTTATCCTAAACTACTACTTTGAACATAACAAAACCATATACTGACAACACTATAAGGCAGTCTAATGTTTGCATGAAGAAGTTTAAGCAACTGTTGACATTTGTTGGAGATATATTTTACAGAGGCACATCTCTAGTTAATCATGGTGTTTGACCGTGAACTCAGTGCTCCAGACTTGTTGAATCCATTTCAAATATCTCATTCATATGCTTTTGTTTGCGTCTACAAAAGCTCAGTTTACGAGATTAAGCCATAAAAGCACAGACGAGGAAGGAGTTTTAGGGCACTCATTTTCTCACTCACTCTTTATAGATAGTATATTTAAGATGACAAACACAAACATAGTGTGCAGTGTGAGTATTGGCACCTGTCCACATTGAGAGTCATGTTGTAGATGGACATCCAGGACGCTCTGAGCCGCTCCATGTCCCCCAGGATGTGGACCCTGCCCTCCTCAGAGGTCTTCTCCAGCACAGATCGACCCTGGGCCTCGGTTCTTTGTAGCTGCAGCTCCTTCTCTGGAAACTCACCCAGGGCTTTCTGCAGGGGCGAGGGCAAACAACAAACTACTTATACATTTTTCATTTTCAAAGCTATACAGTAAAAAAAGGGGTGGTACATGCAAGATCGGATTTTCTTTCTTGTTATTATTTCTCAATGGTCAACGCATACATTACCCCAAAGTTGTTCCCAAGGTTATTTTTTGTTTGTTTTTTGCTATTCTATAAAACCTATGGAATCCTTTTATTCAATAGGATCCAAATCCATATGTCTAAACATGTTGGTGTTGCTTTGTGAGACAAAACACTAGGGGTCGCAAAGACAATGACAGCCATAAATATCAATAATGTATCACCAGCACATTAAACATATATTAACATGTATTAGATGACACTGTTCAGGAACAACCAAGTAACAGGCCTTTGAGATAATATCGGTTATACATCTATCAAACTGAACAAGGTCTAATTGTTGACTCCAGAGGCCAAATGAAAGAACCTCCTTTCAAGGGTGAGCAGAGTACTGAAAAATGTGACCACTTTCACAACTTTGAGAAAGACAACTTGAAGCATTTAAGCCTTTTTCTCAAGAGGAGAATAACTTACATCTGACATTACTCTAAAGCCTCTTTTATGAAGAAATGGCCACGTTGTAGAAAGCCCCATAATTCCTACATGGATATCAGACTGGCTTTGCCCCTTTTACTCACAACCAAGAGCTGTTCCGACATGACATTTGATATTTCGTGTGAACGTCATTTTTGCTGTACTTTACTCAAGATTATGGAGATTATGAAAAAAATCAACAGAATGTGCTTTTGAGTAGTTACAGCGACACTAACTGAACTGAATAGGTCATTAATTTGGAATAGTTTTGGGTACTGTCATGGTTTAGATTTATTTTCTGTGTCTTTCTTTCCTTCACTCCCTGTTCCATCTTTTTCTTTTTTACCCAGACAAGTAGTGGGTCTTGTCTAGTTCTTGTCTTCGTCCTGTTTGGTTCCTTTTTACAATTATTTTTACGCTGGATTTAGATTTTGTATTTGCTTTTATTAAATCACTTATTTTTGTAGATCTGCGTTTTGGGTTATTTTCATTTTGCCACCATGTCAAGCATAGTCCTATTGAAACCACAACACATTTCTCCTTTCTCAAAAAACAGCCAAGGAGACTGAAAATATTCTGATCAGGGTCTAATATCCGTAAAAGTAACCTTTTCTTAAATCTGCCTTTTTCCCTTCACACCAGCCTGCCTGAGAAGTGGGTTTGTTATATCTTCTTCTCCTCATTTCTTGCGGAGGCGGTTGTTCCCCATGTGGCCGGCCGCTGCTTAGTTTTGGTGAAGCACAGTGGGCCGGCGGTGACTCTCTGTGGGAAAGTCTCTGCTGCGATGCTCTGCTGAAGCTCGTTTCCATCCATCAAATGAAAGCACAAACTGAAGTCAGCCAGGACTGCGGTGCTGGGACAATGTACGTGCACGAGTGGAGAAATGTTTGATTTTTTCAGAACAAATGCAATATGATAAATGGAGCCCAGGGTCCAAATGGAAAAATCTATCTCCACTGTATCCCCACTGGATGATTTCCAATAAAGTGGAGCAAAACACTACAAACAATCCCAATAGAGTCATCTTGCAGATCTGGCTCAAGATCTGTGTTCAGGGAGGTTTTGATGTAACGGTGAATCACATTTTAAACTAGGGTTTGGTGAAAAACAAATAAATAAAACATCCAAACACAGGAATATTAATGTTATATTGACTGATAATGATCTATGTTGTTTAAAAATCAAGGCATTTTAACAATTAAAAGTTAAAACGGCATGCATTTACTGGAGCCGATCTCAATTTCATGTATAACACCCAATAATGATTAGAGTTTCTGCTGAGGCCAACGTTTAAAGTACAAAACAAAAGCACAGTGCCCATTGGTGCTTACACGTGTTTTGACTGAACGTATACTTAGTGGTCTCCAACTCTTTTCAGGTAACTCCCAAATGATTCAGGAATTTGACACATGTATTACATTTGGAGTCATTGCATATTTAATTGAACTATATTAGAGTATATAATATTGTATTATATTCTCTAATGTAGGGTCAGACAGTGGTACTTTTTACTGTATAAAATGTCCACCATTTTCAGCAGTTATTACAGTTTTATTACAACCGCAAAAAAAGTAGCTCTCTGCCATTTCTTTTGTGCAAAAGTAGCTCTCCAATAAAAAAAAGTTGGTGACCCCTGATATACATGATTTGTTATATAAATACTCATGGTAACTGGGAACAATTGTTCAAATACACGATTCTTACTGTATGGCATAGGGCAGAGCAGTAAAACATTATGGATAGCACTCTTCTTGGGCAGATTTATAGTAAATGTGATTTCACCTTTAGAGCAATCCAATTGATACAAAATAGTTTTCTTTATTGAGTAAAATTAGTTATGTTTTATCAAGATTATTCATATAATGTAATAGACTAAAGAGACTGAGGATTGTTCAAAAAAATCAATACTGAATAAATGGATAATGTATAAAATCAAATTGAGTCTAATCGATTTGAAAGTCCCCTGGACATCGATACATATTGTGTTGAGGCATCAGAATCTAGATACGCATCATATCGCCCAGTTCTGAAAGCCTTTGTTCTTGTAATACTTGAAGAACTTGTTCTTTCTACGAGATGCAGAAGCTACACGAGGAGAGGCAAACATACATAATAGATGAGTTTGCTTTTCTGGGTGAGTCTGTGACTTGGAGAGCAACAGGAATGGTAAAACTACTCTCCATTACAATTCCCTTTGCAGAGATATGTGAGTCTCATCTCGATCACACTCGCAGTGGTTCACCTCAGCCTCCTGGTGCCGGCCCTGGACGCTCCACTGTCCAGAAGAGCAGTGAAAGGACTCCAGCTTCTGTCTCATGATCATCATCCACTTCTCCAGGTTCAGCAAACTGTCCTGGAACCTCTGGTGCTCCGCAATGTTCTCCTCGCTGCCGTGAACCTTCATCTGCAAAACCACATCAGTTAAACCATAGTATTTCACAAACCTGACTATGGAATAACTGTCCAAATTCCATCAAAATGTTCAACATTCCAGTATACCTAAATACTATTTACCTATATCTAAGGCAGGTAAACCTACATTTAAGTGTGATCTATTATATAATGTGCTCACCTCTAGCTTCTGGGTTCGTGAAAAAAATGCTTCTACAAAACAAAAACAGCAAAAACCTAATTACAGCGATCTAACCTCTAAAAAAAATAGTCCACTCTAGTTTTATTTTGGTCCTCTACAGTCTTTTCCCTCTTTACAGCTGCCTGCTGACCCATTTGCTTTAGCTAAACCAAATTTGGCTGCTAATTAACTAAATTTAAAGACTTGGCAATCAACTGCACGTGTGGCCGGACGATGAGGGGACAGATCATTGGCGTACTCGCATAGTTTAGGAAGGTTCATCTTGTCTTCTTAGAAGAATAAAACCATTTGTTTATCTATACCAGACAATTGTAATGCTATTACCTCTTTAGAAGACTGAACATGTCTGCTTTGAGTGCGCCTCTACAAGTACCATCGAAACATATCAAAGCATACTCACATTTTTAGTTACTAGTACCAATCTCCCTAAATATCTTTAAATAAAAAATGTATGAAAATGTCTCACACGACATTTTCTAGTGAAGATTGAAAAAAATATGCTTCCTATGAAGAGTAAAATTGCAGGATTTTGCGGTTTGAAAGCTTGTGCCAAAAACATTTAATCTTTTATCAGAATGTGTCCTCTTTCAAACTATTACGTAGTAACCAACAAAAAGATGCCATGCCAAGCTCACCTGTGCATGGTGTTTCATTTTTGAGTAAATCTTTCACACCAAATATATAAGAAAGAAACATATTTTTCTACCTTGACAACAGTGTAGAGGTTTTTCCATTCAGCATAGAGCCGCTCAAACTGGTTTTTGTTGGAGGGACTGGAGGCCACCAGAGTCTCCAGGGCCGTGATATGAGCCTCGCAATCTTCAAGGTCTTTCTGTATCACCTGTGAACAGCCGGGAAAGGAAATTAATTTTTGCCAAGAAAATATGAGGAGTCGGTTTGAAAAGATAATTTTAAGTTACACTGCAAGTTACAACTATCACTGAAGGATGCATGGGGATCCTTGAAATAATCTTTACTTTTATAGAATCTCTCAAAGTATATCATTACCATGGAGGATGACAATTTCAAACATTACTAACTCAGATTACCACAATTGAAAGGACCTGAGGTTATAATATTACAATTGGCAATATTCAGACTCAAGACACAAGTGCAGCGTCTGGGAACCCACATGTTGACACTCTTGGTCAAGACCAGAGACTGTAAATATTAATGAAAGTAGTGACGCCTATCTCCGTCGTTGAAACTTATGTGTGATCACTTTCCCCTCCTGCCGACCTTTTCACAATGGCCACGACCAGTTTAGACTGGCCTTAGCCATCCGTAAACTCAGGTCAATTATTATTTCCCTACATGCACGTCTGGGTCTGATCTTAGTGGCTGCGGTTTCCTCGGTTGTATCCCCTCCGACCACTCAGCGATCGGATGTTGTAGGGATGTGTCGTGACGTCAAGAGTTTGTAGTTGTAGTTTGGTAATGGCGGTGAATGCGATAGTAAAGTAGTGTGTTCTGGTACGGCTCCAACTATCAGGCAATTGAACCCGGAGCAAGAGGAATGTCTAGCAAATGTCATTGCTGGCAAAGGTGTTGTTGTGGCTCTACTCCCCACGGGCTCCGTTAGTGGCAAAGGAGATTAGCTAGGCTAAATTCTAGATACCTCACTCACTCTGGCGCATTACATACGTCACAATAAACTCAGATCCAATCGTTTCAATCGGAAAATGGAAAAATGGTGAAAAAACACTTTTGGAGAGGAAGCTGTATCATGTGCGCATGTGTTAGCCGGCACTAGCCAGGACATATTTCATTCCATTCATTTAACGAGTGCATTAAAAAGTCCACAGCGGCAAAATTAGGCTAGTACAAAAAAATGACCCCCGTCAGCATTGACATGCATCTGGAACGTTGAGCCAAGAACAGACTTTTGGACCAGACTGTAAAAACTTTTTTGAGTGGAAAAAAGGAGCCATAAGAATTCATTGTATAATTATTTTTCTGGGTACGCCGCCACAGGCAACGAGTCAAAGTACAAGCATGTCAGCACACATGCTCATGGACCTTTTTGAGCCGGGACCAGCCCCCACTGGTCCGTACCAGAGCTGGAGGCTAATACCGGTGATGTACGTCTTGGGTAGTGGGGGAGACCAGAGCACCTGGAGAAAACCCACCCAGACACAGGTAGAAACACAACCTCCAAACATTACTTTTCTTGCTTTAGGAATGTAACTATCAAATCCAACATACTATATTACTATATAATGAAAAGTGATGATCAATAAATTTACTTTTTTTACTTCCCAAAAAGAGCATATATATATATATATATATATATATATATATATATATATATATATATGTATATGAGGAAACAGTTCTTGGGTAAAATTATTGGCTAAAATATTTTCATTAATTTGGAAAAAGGACAAAGGCAAAGTTTAACGCTTAAGCTTAATAGGTACAAACGCTGTATTACCTAGTTCAAATGAGGATACTCTGAGAAAAATCTTTTAAAAACATGTTTGTTTTGTTAGAGTGGGCTCTGGTGCTGGTGTGGATCCACTCACCCTGAACTGGTCCGCCTGGCTCTTCTTGGCCAGGAGGTCGGGCTGCAGACCATCAGCAGTGACCATTCTGTCCCTCAAGCCGGCAAGTCTGAGTCTGACCAGCTCATGTGCGTCACCAAAGTCCTTGGTTCGGGAGATTAAGCCCTGAGAGAGGAAACGGAAATCAAAAGTGCAACTAAACAAGATGTGTTTGCAGATAGAATTGTGAATATTTATATATATATATATATATATACAGTTTGTTTGAATATTTATTTATTTTAGCAACATAAAAACAAGTATAGTTCAAATAGTTCAATATTTCAAAGATGGAACAGTAGGGATTTTGACTCGTGTTCACACAGTAAGGGCTGAATGTGGACCCATCTTTTTACATCATCAGGCAAAGTCGGCCATTAGTTAAATATACTGTATATACTTCTTTATTATATGACTTGGGCCGTACGCGCGCTCTGATTGGTTGATTTGCGGTCTGATATTTTCCCATCTCGGACCGTTACCATAACAATTGGTCCGAACAGCGCGTATCACATTTGATATCTTTCCACGGACCGTTACCATGACAATCGGTCCGCAGTGCGTATCACACAAAACCAAGTCGGACATGAACATACTTCACAAATATCTCAAAAGCATTGGTAAAGACACAGAAGAGAGTCATATAATAAAACATTTATTAATCTTGGTTGCTCGGTCTGTACAAAGAAATATCAGACCTTGGCCTTTTTGCACAGACCTTGCCACGGCTCGGTCTGTACATTAAGGCCGTGGTCTGATATTTCTCCATACAGACCTCGCGCTCGGTTAATAAGCCGTTAATATTATGTTGTGAGTGTGTGGTCATGGTATCAACAGATTTAACAACTTAATACTTTTAAGTCTTTATGTAATTATCTTTTGTTATACTTAATGCTCTGTAAATTGTTGTGTACTGTATGTATTTATGTATGTATGTCTGTATTTATATTTTGTACCCCCTAAAAAATTAAATGATTAATCTAAAAGGGCTTTCCTCAAATAAACTTAAACTTTAACACACACTAGACTCCGAGTTGTGCATTACAATCATAAAACCGTTTAATCCTTAATGTGTGAACTCCAAAATATGTATTATGTGTCCCGATGATCAATTTTACCCAGCCACAAGTCTACTTCTTCTCATGCTATTTTTGGTGTGTAATCTTCAAGGCTTCGTATAAAAATAAATAAAAAAAGCCTAATTATTCCCTAATATGGGCGTCTTACTTCCCTCCACCGACGAGGACAGGCACTGAGGGGGGGTGGGGGTGGGAGGCAAGTTGGCGAAGTATTTTTAGCTCCTGTCTGTACTTGGCCTCAAAAATGGTCTGTCAGTCATTTCTATGTCAACCTGCGGCCGGCCGACAGAAAAGGGTACTTAATCAGCCATTAGAAAGCCCTCGGTTGCTCTGCTGGCTCCATACAACAGAGCAGAAGAGGGTTCAAGCTGCTACTGTTGGTAAAAATGTTTGATTTTCAGATTGCTCCATGTGGGATTAAGTGTGATGTCAGACACACAAACATGTCAGAGCAACAAACAAAAACTGTTGCATTCGCTCCGCAGTTTGATAGATGTTTTAGTCGTCGAAGCGTTGTGGCTTTGTTAATTAATCGACATTACAAACTAGAGTCAGACTTTTGTAAACATCAAAGGGAAATACTATTGCAGCGGGTTTTTTCCCCTCATATTTTTCAAGGTTTCAACCTAAACGGTAACCTCATCTCTAACAGATATTGTTCACAAATCTGTCCAAATCTGTTTCAGAGAGCACTTATTCATTGCTGAGACACCTGTAAGGTCTGAAACAAATGTAGACAGTTTTGTGAACAATAGAGGTCCATTAGAGAACGTTCATATTTTTAAAAGCAGGCTCAAGACGCACCTTTTTAGATTAGCTTTTGATTAGTTTTTACTATTTCATTTTATATATTCTATTTATCCTCTATTATTTATTGTATTGCTATTGCTTTTATTCATGTATTGTGTGTTAGTTCATTTTAGTTTCATTTTAGTTTCACATTTTTGTGTTTTACATATTGTATTGTTATTGTATTGTTTTTAGTGTACCCAGTGTTTCCTCTGGAGGAGCCCTCTGCACCGGGAGCAGTGGTCGGTGTGGCTGTGGGGGTCGGACTCTTGGACCTGGTGGGGGCCTGGGGCCTCGGTTTCGGGTCTCCTCTAGATCCTGTGTCGTCCCCTGTGGCTACAGGCGGCTCTCTGCTCCTGGTGCAGACGGCTCCTAGGATGACGCTTTTTCAACTGGTTGCATCCGAACCCTGCCAAGTCTCTCATCATTGTTTTACTGTTTTACTTGTGTGTGTGCGTGTGTGTGTGTGTGTGTGTGTGTGTGTGTGTGTGTGTGTGTGTGTCAGAGAGTGTGCATGGGAGCGTGTGTGTGTTTGTCTGTGGTTTGGGATGGGTCTGTTGGGTGGTCGGGGGGAGGGGACATGGGCCGGCGGGATTGTTTTTAACCAAACTGTAAAGCACTTTGTGTTGCATCTTTTGTATGAAAAGCGCTTCATAAATAAAATTTGATTTGATTTTGATTTGATTTGATTAAGCACGTATACAGACTTTTATATTTCTAAGTTTAACCAATGAAAAATGGGAGCAAAACGTGCTGAATAATATTTTGTGTTTAGTGTGAATATACATTTTAGTTATATTTTGCGGACTAAAACTAAACACAGTACATTGAATGTGATTATACTGACTAAACTCTGACTAGGAACAGAAAATGTAACATTTTCGTCAGATATTTTGAAACCGTTTTCAGTCCAAGAGCCTGAATGAGCTATAAATGCCCTAAGAAGAAATCGCTGATGATTTATCACTGACTGAACTGTGACATTAACTAAAGCTAGTGAGGATTTAGTCTCCCATTTATGTCAACAGAACTAAAATATGTCTAAATTGAAATTTTTTGACAGAAAAGTTTTCTTAATTTTAGTCAAGAGAGTGAGAAAGAAAGAAAGTCATTTTACTAAACCATGGAACAATCTCCAAATGATCTCTATTGAAAAGCAGGTGGCACTAAAGTTTCCTGTTTTGACAGGTAGAACGTCCACTCCGAAAGAAATTGAAGGATAAAACAAGTTTTGCACCTGGATTTTAAAAACTATTCTGTAAAAGTAATGATGGAAGGAGATTCGACCAGCCACAAGGGAAATAATACCAGCCCAAAAACGTATCAAAGCAATACATTTTTTATGTGCATTCTGAGCAAAGGCTTCAGTTGGCTTCAGTTTAACTTTGAGGGAAGAGGAAAAAAACATATGCAATACACACACGCACGCATATGTCTGTTATTTTTTTCTAATTTGGCCTGAGGGGACAACAGTTTGCTTAAGAGTATATATGTCATGGCATCATTTCTGTCATAAGTATTTTTTTATTTCTCTTTATCTTGTTTTGTTCAGCACTTTGAGTGCCTTGTGTATAAATTGTGCTTTATGAATAAACTTGCCTTGTCTTCCATTCTTTAGAAGACTTCAGAACTGATAGAACCACAACAAATGACATGCAATAAAAATCAATAATGGTCAATGACACTTACCATTATCGCATAATCAAAATCAATCAAAAAACAAAATGATTCAAAAGTCTGTGTTCGCAAACGAACGTGTTACCAAATCTTTAAGTACGAGGAACGAAAGTTAAGCAAAAATATATATTTCAAAGATTTGTTTAATAATTTCTATCAGCCGAAAATATTGTGTGTGTGTGTACAATTTTTGCTATGAATATTTTGGCTCTATGAGAAAACAAAATTATTCTACTATAGAACTCCTTAACCATTCATCAGGTAATCACAAAGTCCATTTATATTTTTGCAAATGGAAGTTGATATTTAAACTCAAATGAACAAAAATGGAAGGATCCAGCAAATAATACCAGCATTATCAATCCTTCAGGCTTCAGAGTCCTCTACAGGGCGCCAGATGGAGCCCAGACGACTGATGAGTACTACTAAAACCAAGCACACACACTGTAAATTAACCATAGAAAATGATTTATCACAAATGAAGAAAAACATTTGTGGGAAACCAGGCCACTGCATAGAGTGTCCTGGAGTCATAGGCTCTGAGAAGCAATTCTTCTACTTTGAAGACTATTATTTAATTACTTCTTTAGGCGTCAAATAGATTTATGTAATTTTGGGGAAAGCTGACATCCAGCCAAAGCAATGACAGCTCCCTGTTGGCAGTTTGAGTATAAAGAGCAGAGTGAAACACAGTGTGTCTGATGCAGTCACCTGGAGCCTGCTCTTCCTCTGCAGCAGCTGAGAGTGCAGTAGCTCTCTGTTCCTGATGGTGGCGCTGAGCTCCGTCTGTAAAGTGTCCGCTCCGTCACGTCCAAACACAGAGTCCAGCAGGTCGCTCTTGTCCTGCAGCTGACCCAGGCTCTGCTGCAGCTCTGCACTGTCCACCAGCAAACGCTGAAAAAACATGCTTGAATTACAAATCCAGGATATGTGGAAATCCAGTAAATGTGATAGACAGGAGAGTGCTCTTTCGAGTGTCAGCATCTCACAACACAACAGAAATACACTTAAAACTTTGGAATTTACCAAAAAAAGATGGACTTTGACAAAATGATTTAACATTCCTGAGACGTTGAATTTGTACATCAAAGGCTTGTGTCAATTTATCAGTTGGACTTGAGAAAAACCTCATAATTGACTTTCCCACATCTTCACTTCAGTGCCACATGTGTGACGCAACAGTTACACTGCAATATTTGAAACATACTTAAACTTGAAAGAAACTGGTTGAATTTGTATGTGCATTATAGTTAAGAGCCATCTTAATAATTACATTAAATAATGGATATATTTAATATTTCACAATGTATAGCTCTTCACAATTAACAAACATTTTGAATAAAAAACTACTAAAAGGTTTGAGGATGAGTTGGCTTGCATACAGTTAAAATGGTGTGCACATCTTATCCACCGGGAAAACAAAACAATCTGGCTCATGTGCTCAACGTGACATAAGCACCAGCAGCACAGTCTATGGTTCTAAAGTTTACAGCAGACGCTGTTTTTCCACCTCAAACACAAAGTAAAGCCGTCATCTTCCGGAATGAAATGCTCTGTGGTCGACCTCACTATCATAATTTATGTTGCAGCTTGTAATATTTCCAGTCTTTGTACTGTTTGACGTGGACGTGTCAGTTCATCAAGTCTCACTGGACTCATCTCTCATACATTTGTCACAAGTCAACGAGACAAAAGTCACAACACTCACGGTTTTGTAACGCATTGTAACGCTCCTTGCTTAGAAGAAAGTAAATGTAATCCCATTTTTGCAGTTGTAATCCCTTACTTTACTCGTTACACAGAAGTAATTGGATAGCCGTTACTTTTATCACGTTATTGACCAACACTGAAAACCACCAGTGAAGCAGAAATGGCCCATTTAAAGTGAACCAGAAAAAGGCCTTAAATTCCACAATTCCAACTATTGAAGTGAAAGAAAGCTGAGTCACCTCGATCTTGTGGAGGAGCAGTGCGATGTGGGAGAAGTCGGTGACCTCGGCCTCCAGCGCCTGGGACACCTGCAGACTCCACTGGGAGAAGAACAGCAGCGGGTCCTGCAGAGTGCTGCGAAGGCCACACTCACTCTCAGAGCACAGGCGTGTAACTCTGCACTTCACACTGCGCGCACACACACATGCACAACACACACACACACACACACACACACACACACACGCACACGTACACAGAGGATGTCAACAAGGTTATGCTATAACAGTGAATATGATCATAGGAACAAATGCATTATAGGGGGATCGGTCCTTCTCAGACCCAGACTCTGGAACTAGCTGCCCCCAGATATGCAAGCGCTCACTGATTGTGACCTTTTTAAATCAAGGCTCAAAACTCATTTATTCAGACTGGCTTTTAACACTTTTAACACTCATCACGATTGTAATGCTTTTAACATTTTATTTTTTGATTGCATGAATGTTTTAATTTCATGTGATTTTATTGTAAAGCACTTTGGTCGCTGTGAGTCAAAAATGATTGAATTGATTGATAGTTGTGATGATCTTAGAAGCAATATCAACTGTTTTTCATAGAATATAGTTTTCTCATAACTCTGATGCAGAAACACAGTTATGTAGAATTTGCTATTTCATTGTTAGTGTGAGATGGGGATGCATTGAGAATCAAATATGTGGTTAAAGTGGTCTTCAATGGTGGTATATAGGACGATTTTGCCTCTAAATTGTGGGGAAAAAATAAGTTTTACACAGAGCCTCTAGTTTTTATTCAAAACAAAACAAACCAAAAAGGTCCTTTATTGGTGAATGCTTTTGAAGAGAAATGACTTAAAACATTGCTCCGTCTCAGTCTGTTCATGGAAGATTAGTTTTGACAGCAATTGTTATTCTAAAATGATCTTTCAATTATGACACAAATATTCATAATTAGGATTTTTGCCAGTTCTAGCCTGTAGGTATTCTCCGCACACATAAGTCATTTTCTTCAGTAATCCTAATGTAATGCTATATGGCTCTAATGTAAACCTAAAAACCTTAAAACTATTCTTCGATTCTGTTTAAGTGTACGACAGCTGCAGAATGTTCTTTCACAGTTATAACCGTGTAATGTCAATGCACCCCATTTGATACCTTTGATGCTCCTTGACAACAGCCAGCACGTCATCAGAGAGGTGTCGCGAGTCCTGGGAGAATCTAAAGAGTTCTTTGAGTTGGGCCTTCAGATGCTCCACCTGAGACTCTTCTCCCATCAAAGTGTTCTTCACCCCCTGGAGACACAAGAGCACAATCAGATATAATATATATGTGCATCCCCCGAAAATGTGATGAATGACGGCAAATGTTACAGTCGCAGTCTTTATCGAAAGCAAAGTGGACGGACTTTAAAAATAAACACTGCTGCTGGGATTCAGATGATAAAACACGGTATCTCACATGCACTGCAAAAACTGTTTCCAATACACTTTAGTTATAAACACATTAAACACATTAAATATACAGGCTTCCCAGATTTATATGTTCAAAAAATAGAATACGTAAAACATTATGTTCCAGTTTCCAATTTAAAACTAAAACTAAAAATACAAACAATAACATACAGTAATTAAAACAGATAAAACCGAGGACCACACAACGCACGGGCATTAAAAGCCATAGGGTAAAAATGAGTCTTACGAGAAGATTAAAACATTCCACCATTGGCCACCCCACCTCTGCTGCTGTGACCTGTCCTGCTCCACCCAGCGGCTACTCCCCCTCTGCTGCTGTAAACTGAAGTGCTGTTGCATTTTAATACTATTGTTAGCTATTTTTAGAGTTATCTTTTTATCTGTATGAATGAATGTATTTCTGCTGCTACTCGAAACCTGAATTTCTCAATAAAGTGTCCATCTATCTATTCCAACGAGAGAGCTGTTTTGTTTGAGTATGTCTGGTTGTTAACAACATAGATATTGTCTATGCCATACCGTACTTGTTTTGCTTCACTTTTTTATTTAATTAAATTTCTTGTATAGGAAAATCTAATGCAGATGAAGTTGTGATTTAAGGCTATACACAGAAACACTACATTGAAGATTGAAGAAAGTCGAATGTGAAATGCATCGGCATGTCCATTCAAAAGGACGTAAGGAATCGGAGTGCCTCAGATGTGACACTACATAACACTAATACAAACAATCCAGACCCAGAAAGGTCAGTGAAAATGGATTTTTCTGTGTAATAAAAAAAAGTGACTTTCAACAGATGTGGGTTGTTTTATTGCAAGTACTTATAAACTTATTTAATTTCCTTCTGCATTCATTATAGAGTCAATTTCTACATCAGTTGACACCTATTTCATCCGTTGTGATTAATCAATTAACTTGTTACAGTCGCAAAAAACCGAAACGTCCCTTTTCTAAAACTTTTCAGAGTGGATCGATATAAGTGTTCTGTGGACTCCTCGGCACATTGACTATTGAATGACAAAGACAGTTTAGCTTTCGTTGAGGTGAGACATTTTGTATTCTGCTCCTCTCTGGCTCACTGCGTCATTGTCTGTTGCTGTATTATGTGTTTAATTACAGATGATAACAACAGGGGGGGGTCTGGGTCAATCTAAGGGAATGATATTGTATTGTGTATCTGTGAGGTTTGTTTCTTTCGGGGAGAACAACATGAGCAACAGGACGATATAGGAGAGCGGCGTCTTTTAAAGCTATGCCTATAGAAGTCTTTATTGCCCTCCTCTGAGTGTTGCTTTGATAGTGAGGTCCTGCTCTAATGGCTACTCCACTGAGTTAGAAGTGTGGCCAATCTGCAAAACGACACTACTTTCAGAAGGCTGCAAGTCAGAAAGAGAAACATTCTTATTTTGTAGCTGGTTAGAGAAAAACCCCACACTTCTCAAACCTCTCTCTTATGCAAATGGTTTCAGTGCTGGCCCTGTCATTTATTGTTGTAAATGCAAAATAAATAGGCAGTTGCGCAATGTCTTTTACAAACCCGAAGAAGCTGCGAAAACTCCGAAAATGCCAGTCGTCTCATTATATGCAGTGATTTGCATGTATTTTTATTTGCGTATCAAATATCTTATGATGCAACCATTTGTAATGTGTCTAGACTTGTTGGTGACAGATATATTACAACAGTAAAATAATAAATACATTATTATTCAAATCACCTATTTATTTATTTTTGTAAAAAAGGCATGCCAGGTGGATGAGATTCCTCAAACAAACATGGGGTTGTTGCAAAAGCACTCGTAAGCCATTTGGACATTTTCAGAGAATATTGCATAATGATCCAATACATGTTGAAAGAGTAGGCTCCTTCTGGAAACAATAAATAACAGTTCTTTCTTTATGAAAGGTTTTCCCATGTACCCTAACACTATTATTATTGTTTATTATATATTTTTGGTAGTTATTTTTTGAACAAAATGAATGAAAAGCACTTGAACCAGAACAAGTGCCAAGGTAAAATGGTTGAGTGTCTACACAGAATAGTGCAATTATTGTATGTTTGCGTGTTGTTTTTATGTGTGAGCAAAATACATGATCTGGTTGTTTTCTTGAGAAAATCCTCCTCCTTAAAAATAGGTTTCACAAGCCACGGATGGATGAATTTAGGGTCAATAGTTACCATTTCAACACACAAACAAACAAACAACAACAACAGGCTGGTTTTGTCTGTTGATCTCTATCCTCTAAGAGGCCGTCCGCTGGGTTGATTATTACGCTCCTCCTAAATAAACACACAGAAACACTGCCAACAGCTGCATAAAACACATGGTCTGAAATAATGGCGGCTGTTGTTCCTTTGTCCTCATATGAAGAGCACACAACAGTTTTCCCTAATGTAGCCCAAAGTACTTATCATTCCCTCCTTGTAAGCTCAAAGTGAAAACAAACAGCTTCACGATTACCAGCTGACAGCCTATCATTGCGGAGGGTGACAAACACAGTCCTTTGCATCATTGGGCATTCTCGTCACATGCAGCGGACCGGGCAGCTCACAGGTCCCTCCTGCTTCGACAAAGGCTCGCTCTGAACTCACGCATGCACATTCTATTCTGCGCACACAAATCCACTCGTCAAAACTAAACCCAGAGAAGACGATGGCATTTGCGGGAGGAGATTTCTTCATTGCCATTTTGCTCCGTGCTGGTATAAGGGTGGCTGTGGTACAATAACAGTTTTTGGGTCAGAATGCAGAGAAAACATGATTAACTATTACTGAAGCTCACTTGTAAATCGATGCCACTGTCATTCTGGAGTAAAGGAAAGTGTGCATTTTCTTTTATTTAGTTGACTGGTTCAACTAAAGGTTAAAGTATATTGATTTTGAGAAAGGTGTAGCTGGCCATTTTTATTGATTTCTTATTTAATCAATTAGGATCCCAAAAGGTCAGAGAATTTGGGATTTTTTATACAGTTAGTTTTATACAGTTACAAAACAAAGCTCAGGTGATGCCACTGGAGAACATCAGTAAAGAGATGACTGATGGCAATCCACCAATATTTTATAAACACACATTGTTTTAATTTCGTTCTGCAAGCATTATATAATTATCCATCCATCCATCCATCCATTTTCTACCCTTTAATCCAAGTCTCATAGCACCAGCCCCTCACTGACCCTCTGCAGGTGGTGAGTCCACAGGAGTACGGCTGCTCTCTGAGTGTGAGTATAGCCTTGATCTTTCAGTGGGGGCTTGGAGCAAAGTGGGGTTAAGTGTCTTGCCCAAGGACACAACGACAGCAGTCATCAGTGGGAGTCGGTGGAGAAGGTGTAGAGGTGGGAATTGAACCCACGACCTTCAGGCCTGAAGGCCAATGCTCTACCAACTGAGCTACTGTCGCCCTATATAATTATATGAGTCATAAAACTAATTCTCAGCAAGGTTTAAGTCTACAGAATGTAAAAAAGAAAATACATACATACATACATAGTACTAAATAAGTTTAAAGTTTACATAATAAGTTTTATATATTTACCAATTTTACTAACTATTTTACTAATTGATTAGTTTTGATTCACTTGTTCACTTATTCACTTGTTACAGCCTTAATATAGAGTTTGTTGGAAAACATCTTTTATTGATGAAATCCAGAACAGCATCCACACAAATATTTAACTTAGAGGAGCAATATGTAATATTTGCATGTCAAGTCATCATTAAATGACCCGAATATTTCAAAAGGCGTTATTAAATCATACTCTTTTCGAATTCATCTTTAACTGATAACAGTAGTTCAGCCGAGATATTTGATTATCAAAATTAGTTTTACGACCCGTAAAAGTTGTTATTGTTTTGATTTTGATGTCCTACCCTCCGCCGTTTCGCCAATCAGGAAGTGTCATGTAAGTCCGTGATCGGGTTGCCAGAACTCCGCGCGGCTCATTAATCTCAGTGGTAAAATAACATGTGGCGCAGAACTAAAAAAGGTCTTGTTATGACTCTCAAATCATTAATGACAAAACAAAGACTAAAACGAGGATTTATATCGGGATGCCTTTGAACAATTGAGACAGCTGATAAAAGTTCACGTGTGATGCAGAATTTTCTAGTTTGACTCCGTTCTTCACAGTGTTTCTATTCGTGTGAATCGGTGGTCTAGTGGTCAAAACTGTGCGCTTATGATGCAGGAACCCGGGTTCGATACCGGGCTATGTCTTTTTGTATTTATTGCATGTTATCACATTCTATGACAGATTGCTCTAAAAACGGTAAAAGATGAAGGTCAAGACGTTTTTTTTTGCAGATTATAGCTTAATTGTAAAAATAATCATTTAAGACCACATGTACCCCAATTAAAATAATGTTAGTCTCTTTTTGATGTGGGACTTTTACATGTTTGTCTAAAAAATAGGGAATAAATAAAATTGAGGTGATATCCTCTTGAGCAAACCCTGATGTTGATACGCTGAAGAAATACGTTCCAACATCCATTCTTCCCACTCCTATTTTGGACATCAATTGCTTATTTATTTTGCATAAACTATGTATAATTACATTGCTTTTATTTTGTTTTTGTTTTTTATCTCAAATGTCCAAATAATAATAATAAAAAAACATGAATCAAAACATTCATTCAGCATTAGCACGGCTGTCATGGCAATGTGAATGGAGACGGACAAACAACTGATAAAATAATTCCCTGTGTTTGCTGCTGGATTTGGTGTGAATCTGGCAACCTGAGTCAGGGAGAGTGGGAGAGGACTACAAAATATTGACTGTGACTGCAGTACCACTTTTGGCCAGATTTTTACATATTGTTCCTTTAAAATATGTTCCATTATTTCTACCAAAAACTGATATAATGTTTTTACCACCAAAAACTAATATCATCATTTACTAATTGAATGTATCCGCGAATATATTATATTATCAAAACCGTACATTCTATTGCACAGACATGTAATCCTCACATGTCGGTGCAATACAAAGTACTGTTTTAATAACATATACATATTCTGGATTAGGCGCACCTGTATATACACTGCACCGGCAACATTGTAAAAGAAAGTCAATTTTGTCCATATAGAGGCTGCACCTCAATATAAGCCGCAGGTTTCCATGTTGTGATGTCGCAGATAGACGGTTGTTTTAACATGAATGAATAAATGAAATAATTAATTAATGGAGTCAAAAAATCCATAAACTCTAACAACTCTACCACAATAAAAATACACACATTGGAAAAAGTTGTGGCTTATAGTCCGGAAATTACTGTAAATACTTTTTCAATGTTTTACTTTTCTTAAATAAAAGATTTCAAAACAGGACTATTGAGAGCTGTGATGGTGAAGCCACTGTTTGGTGATCTGTGGAGAATGCACCGCGCCTCGCTTAGGCATTCAGTCACTCCGACAATGTGAGACGTGACAGCATGTGGTTTGGGCAAAGGCTGAGAAAATGTACAGATAGAGTGAGGTGACGAATTCATGATAAACTTGTCATGTTGGGGCAAGCTGCAGGAGAAAGTGGTAAAGAGAGACAGCCGTGTGTGAAAGATACAGTAAAAGATTACCCATAAATATTTAAGAAGGGAGAAGAATGCATGAGAAATGACTGCATTACTCTGTACTGAAGGTACCAAAACAAGTCTAGTTTCACAATTTGAGACGCAAAATGATACTTTCTCTAACTAAAAGTGCTGTTAGAAAAGGAAAGAAAAAAATTAACAAAAACATGTTATTGTACTTCTCACTATTGCAGTGTCAAAAGTAAAAATGCATCAAGCCTAAAAGTTGTTTTCTACCAACAAAGAGTAAGAATATTCCAAGGAAGTCTGTTAATATGAGGCAAACTCCAAGCTGCACTTTACAATGTAAAAACCCAAAGGAAAGGGTGAAAATGACTTACGGTAAATAGTAAGCAAAGTCTCAATCTTAATCTTGTTAGATCTGAGTGCTGCCTTTGACACTGTCGACCATGAGATCCTCTTACAGAGACTAGAGGACTGGGTTGGCGTCACTGGCACCGCCCTAAGTTGGTTTAGGTCTTACCTTGAAGACAGGAAGTACTTTGTGGAGATTGGAAACTGTGTCTCAGATCATATGGCCCTGACCTGTGGAGTCCCACAGGGGTCGATCCTGGGACCTCTTCTGTTCAATCTCTACATGCTGCCGTTAGGTCAGTTAATACGCAGAAACAAAGTGTCCTATCACAACTATGCAGACGACACTCAGATCTATGTCTCACTGACTGCAGGAGAACATGGACCAGTGGACTCACTCCTTCACTGTATCCAACAGATCAGTGAGTGGATGCAAAACAACTTCCTTCAGCTAAACGCAGACAAAACTGAAATGATTGTCTTTGGTCCCCAGAAACAAAGAGAGAGCGTCATCTGTCAGCTCCAGTCTCTCTCCCTAAAACCTTCAAACAAGGTCAGAAATCTAGGGGTAATACTGGACTCAGACTTAAATTTCAAATCAGTAACATCAGCAGCTTTTTATCATCTAAAAAACATTGCCAGGATCAAAAACAGTGTCTAAAGCAGACTTGGAGATTCTTATCCATGCATTTGTCTCCAGTAGGTTAGACTACTGCAATGGCCTGCTCACAGGTCTGTCCAAACAGGCTGTAAAACAGCTGCAGTACATTCAAAATGCAGCAGCTCGAGTCCTGACTAGAACCAGGAAGTACGACCACATTAGTCCAGTCCTCAGGTCTCTGCACTGGCTTCCTGTGGCTCAGAGAATAGACTTTAAAACAGCTCTGCTTGTGTACAAATTTCTCCATGGCCTCGCACCAAAATATATTAGTGACATGTTAGTCCCATATGAACCAGCCCGGGCTCTGAGGAGCACAGGGACTGGACTCCTGTTAGTGCCCAGAGTCAGAACTAAACATGGGGAGGCTGCTTTTCAGATTCATCCATCCATCATCCATCTTAATCCATTTCTGGGTCAGGGGGGTGGCAGTCAGAGATGCCACCCAAGTCTCATTGCACCAGCCCCTCACTGACCCTCTGCAGGTGGTGAGTCCACAGGAGGACAGCTGCTCTCTGAGTGTGAGCATAGCCTTGATCTTTCAGTGGGGGCTTTGGGCTTTTCAGATTCATGCTGCTAAAATCTGGAACAGTCTTCCTGAAGATGTGAGACAGGCCTCCTCTCTGACAGTGTTTAAAACCAGGTTAAAGACAGTTCTGTTTGGCTGTGCATGCAACTGAGGGATTTTATATTTTTATCTTTCCTTTTAATGTTCTGTGATTATTTATGATTTTAATGCTTTCTTATTTTGTTCAGCAATTTGAATTGCCTTGTGTATGAATTTTGCTAAACTTGCCTTGCCTATTATTTTTGATAATTGTCATTTTAGACTATAAAGCTAAATTTAACTCATTTTACTTCAGGAAATCACTATTCAATACACACGTTCACACTTGAATGTGTATTGTAGAAACTGCAGTTATGTGGAGAAACATATTGACATGTAATTTGTTGGATGAGACCACATGGAAACAAAGCTGCCATAGCGACGAGTGCCGTGCAGAAGTGCTGGTATGACGCAAACATTGACAGAACTTACACATTTCCTTATTCTGTACTATAATCCTTTCATAAACTCAAAATGAAACTTACAGAGCCCCGAGAGCAGAGGGCTGAGAGTTAGAACTAACAGATCTGGTACAAGCATTTACAGTGTGGGGCTGTTAGTAACTTAATTAATAACAAATATTTAAAGAAGAGAAGAAGAACTATTCTTCAGAATATGTGGGTATTGGTTTAATCCTCAAACAATATGGAGGTATTTGAGCAAATTATTTTTTCATTGATAATGGGTTTAGATTTTCTTTAAAAAAAAACTGGACCAAAGGTTAAGAAAGCAGATTATTGTAGACTGATTTACACGGTTAGGGTTGACTCCCATTCATTTAAAAAGACTACCGGCGGTTGACAGAGTGAGGTTAACAACTTTATGTTTCTATGTCCGGGGGCCACATAGAAACATGAGGCCTCAGTTTCCCAGGTCTGACAATATTGTAATTTAGGGCTGTAAAAATAATGATATATAGCCAATATTGTTTTGATTAATATTTGTATTGCTCGTTTGGTTAGGTGTTAAACTGCCTGCAGTGGCATTGTTCTGACTTTGTAATGACAAAGTTTAATCTAATCTTTTCCAAATTAAGCGATTGTTCAGAGTGCAGATATGAGATGTTATGTACATTTGACGCAGAAACAGCAAACAAAAAGCCACTAGAGGACATTCTAATGGATTACATTCCCAGATCTGTCTATGTCAGTGCTGAGTGTGTATAAAAGATAATTTATGATTAATTGATTACTCAAATAGTTGACAATTATCGGAAAATCAATCAATGAATTGCTTACTTCACATCCAGGTTAAATTTTTGGACTGTACCTTTATTATATTGTGATGTTTGCATGTGTTTAATTGTGCTGTAATGTATTTTTCATTTGTATTGGGGATCACTTTTGATGGTGTTGTGTAGGATTTGTGCCATGTCATACATTTTGATTGTGAGAGACAGTAAGCTAAATGAAATGTATCAATTTCACTGATGATTCAAATTTGAGTCATTATCTCAATTTTAATGTATCTGTAATCTATATCCCCACCGTAATAACTAGAAAACCAAACCTTGAAACCACAACAATTGTGAATGTAATAAAAGCCATGTAACTAGTTTATTGGTTTCCAAACTAGAAACTAGTCACATCTATAGATCAGATTTTTTTGTGAAATAGAGGTCCATCCTCCACTCAGCCCTCAATATGTAACGAAAACAAAATGTGAGGTACTGCAGCTTTAACCAAACTCGAATAACTGATTACCTTTAGGGAAATCCTGACATTGCTTTGAACCGTTCACTGTGAAAAACCCAAACTATGTGTAATATTAAGTTGAGAGGTGCCCTCTGGCCTCACCGTGTACGTCCTCCACTGGCCGACCATCTGCTCCTCTGTGCTGTTCGGAGCGTTTCCCTCCCCTCTGCCCTTCTCCAGCTCCTGCTCCAGCCGCTGCAGGAGGCCTCGGAGGCGGCTGATGTCCTCTCCGAGTCTCTGGCAGCGGGACATGTACTGACAGTGTGAGTCCAGACTGGCCCTAAGACCCTCCTCGGCCTCACACAGCCCCTGCCTCAGCCGCTGCCAGCCCAGACGCAGCTCCTCCGCCTCCTCCACCACCTGCTCCGACCCGGCCGGAGAGGTATTGGCCCGCACGCCCTCTGCAAGACACTCGATGTGCAGCAGTGTCTTCTCCTCGCTGGCCACGCTGTCGTCCAAGGTCTGGAGAGGAGGAAGAAAGATGCGCACGCTGTGAGAAATTGGACAGAGTTGGGCTACATGAATAAATCTTTTAGCAATTTGTAATGTAATCATTCAGTCACCAACAAAATGTAGCAACCAGAGCACTTCCTGATAAGACCTTATAGAGTTAGCGGGTTGGCGTTGTTCATCTATATACAGTCTATGTCTTTAACATCTTATTATCAATACTGCAAGTTAATAGTAAGAATTTAAAGTAGGGCTGTCAAACGATTAATTTTTTTAATCGAGTTAATTACAGCTTAAAAATTAATTAATCGTAATTAATCGCATTTCAAACTATTGGCAAAATTATGCCATATTTTTCTGTAAATTGTTGTTTGAATGGAAAGATAAATGACAGCTTAGTGAACATATGTACTGTATTTGTTTGTTATAACAATAAATCCATATAAAATGGCATTGACATTATTAACATTCTGTCTTTCTGTTTAGACTCAGACCAAAACCATTGTTTGTTACAGATGAGGGACATTTCAAAATAGTCTGAAGCAGAATGTCATTAAATCCGTTTGATTTGCCACTTTTATTGTACATATATCCTGCATGTAACATCTTTGCACATTTCCTCCTTTTGCACAATCTGAGTGTCTCTATCCATGCCAAACGTGACATGTAAATTTCTCCTTGTGAGATAAATAAAGCACATCTTATCTTATCTTATTTGCTCACACCATTACTTTTTTTGGCACAACTAACATGAACTGGTAGTCGAAAGGAAAATTAGGTACCTCAGCTTTAATTTAGCGAGTGCGCTTCGGGAGAAGACACGGAGGAGACTGAGGCTCCGCAGTCCAGCTTCAGCGCTGTACTGTAGATATTGTGTGCATCGGTTACGCAAAGACACGTACGCACACTAGAGAATAGTTCTGTAATAGTTCTGTGCGTGGTCTTGGATATGATCCCATTACGCAGCGCCGTTTGCCGTGATCACAGCCGCTGGAAGTGGGAACTGCTGTCCAGAGCGCTGTGGCGCCCGCAGCTCATCATGCAGAGTTCATACAGGAAACTACAAGTGCCCCGCGGTCACGCGTGTATTCTTTCAAAACTTGAATTCCCAGAGGGCCTACCTGCTCTGTCCCCATCTTACACACGCATGTGTCCGCGGCATTCTGAGTGTTATTATGGGACTGATGGGCATGGGACTGATGGGCATGCGTCAAATGCGTTAATTTTGTTAACGCGATTAATGAAAAAAATTAATTAACGTGCGTTAAAGCGATAATTTTGACAGCCCTAATTTAAAGTCATAGGAGCGGCCACATGTGATATTTTGCATTGTGGTTGTGTTGTGGAGATTGTGTGAGAGGTGGTTGGACATTAATAAGCTTTTGTTTCTGCCAACCCCCTTTTCAAACCATGCATATGTTTACAAGAGGAAGTGTCTTAAAAATGTTTGTGCAGGTTTGAAAGAAATAAATTGATTGATTGACTAAAAAATGTATTCAATATTAATTCAGGTTATTCTTGTATAGCCCTAATTTTACGAAACCGTCACATTTATCAACACAGAGCAGAGAATCAAACAGTTCAAACACAGGAACTGCAATGATATAAAAAAATACATAGAGCCATTTGTCTAGAAGGGGCAGATGACCATGTCCATAAATGTTGATAAATGATGATATCAAGATTGGTTCACAGTCTTGCACAGTTTTTCCAATGTGGTGTTACTGCAAATGGCAAATACATTCTTGTAAATGTCCATAAATGTTGTTAAATGTCTAGTGTCCTGGATCATCCCCACTGTCCTTAGACCCTTGTCAAAAAACAAAGTTGAATATAAACAGGAAATAACTAAACTATTTATTATGTCTCTTTTGACAAATACGTTGATCAGGATATCAAAGCACTTTTCTGCGATGCAATACAGAAGTTCCTTTTAGTCAACACAGCATGTTGGCAACTTTACACAAACACAGCATTATTTTGACTGTCTAGATATATTGTTTCCACATATAAAGCATAAACATGACAAACAGCCGCACACTCACTTTGAGCGCCCGCAGCTTGCTCTCTGCTGGGTCATCCTTCTCCATCATCTCCGTCAGCTCCCTGGTTTTCGACAGCAGCCACGACTGGAACCTCTGAACGCAGCCTTGGTACGCCTGGTGCTCCTCCGCAATCTTCTTAAGCAGTGACAGACGCTCCTGGCCCAGCGGGAGACAAACTGCGTGGTAATTTTTAGATTTCCATATATTTATTTATCTTTAAAAACAGAAGGTACGAGTACACATCACTAACTTCCTATTTGGGGATCTGGGAGCGGCAGCCTTGAATGAGTTTCTCTAGCGACACATCAAGAGCAACGATTCTCAAAAGTGACACTTCAGATAACACAAAAGAGGCAGGTGGGCGGTGAATTAAAAGGGGAAAATTACCCTTAAAACTAGACATTTTCACCACAACTCTCGCCGAACGGCAGATTGAACTGTCTACTCGATTGAAGATTAAGTAAGAGACTGAAACGGCTTAATTTGGATGTGCAAAAAGTGAAAGAACAAATAAAAAAGGACAAAAGCTCTCTGTGGAAAGTTTTCCATGTGACCCATGCAACACAATTTCTGTCTACTCTAAATGTTAATGCACTGGTGTAGTTAGAAACGAGACAGAGGTAAAGAAAGAAGATCGTCACTCTCGCCATTTTAAATTGGTCTGGATTCTTTTTGACTGAATGTTATTGAAATATCCACCTGTATAAGAACCGAGTCTGTTTATTTTGACGGGCTTTTAATGCTTCCCAGCATCTCATGAATAAAATAACAGTGGAAATAAAAACAGATAGAAAAGGCTAATGTGGAGTCTCTACTTTAGAATAAGTAATAGCTGTTTAAGATGATGAAATATTTAGATTTGTGGCAGAGATTTAGTTCTGTTGATTGTTGTGCCATTTTAAAAAGCGTTTTCAGCAATAACAATGATATCTCTGCTTTTACAAAGTAAAATGGGATGAGTCATGAAGGGTAATTTAATATGACATTTTGTTCAGTTAGTAAAATCACGTAATCATGATCATTTATTTTTATGAATATTATAAATTGGAATATGTTGTTTCACTTTAATTCCACAAATGGGACATTGTTTGAATCACCACAATGCATCGTTAATAAAAGCCTCATTATGCATTATACGTGAAAAAGGGTGATATTTTTGCGTAATTTTTGCGTAAACACAGACTAAAGGTGTGTTTACACTTGTTGGTCTGGTTCATATTAACTGGATCTATTCTGGTTCACTTATTTAGTTGTAGTTGTACAGAAAACAACCCTACTTTATAGCATAACATAATGGAAACAGGCATATCTAATGTAATTAATTATTTACGGTGTATTTACACAAATCCTGAGAGCCGTACCTCCACTCCGTCTCGTACGTGGTTGTAGTCGGCCTGCATCCTCTCCTGGGCCTGGGGGTCTACACTGGGGTCCTGGGTGCGAGTGTGCAGTGCATTGGCCTCGTCCAGGAGCCGCTCCAGCAGCGCGGCCTGGCTCTGCACGTCACTCACCAACACCCTCTGCTGATCCACCTGCCACATCTTCTCCTTCAGCCCCAACTGCAGCTCTGGCCCCAGAGCCAGAGAGCACTGCTGTCGGCTCAGCCACATGTGGTACTCCTCGTAGGCCTTCAGGTACTCGCTCCAGTGCAGCCACACCCACTCGATCCGACTAAGGTGGGAGTTACACGGAATGAGCCAATTTGTAATGAACAACTAAGTAATGTGGTCAGGCTTAAGGCCGACTAATTCACACTAATTATTATAAACAGAAAGCAAGCAACTTTCCCTAATATAATTGGATCAACAAGTAGTGATTACCATACTTTCTGGACTACTAGGTGCACCTGTATATAAGCCGCACCACCTACATTTGAAAGGAAAAACAATTTGGTCCACATATAGGCCACATTTAAATATAAGCCGTTGGTTTTCATGTTATGATGTAGCAGATGGATTTCTCTTTTAACTGGACACATGATTTCATGAGCCACATCACACTATAAGAGCTAGAAAAAGGTCATGGCTTATGACATTATGTAATATTATTGACATAAAGAAATTACATTACAATACATATCCATGAGCCCCTTTCTATACACCTAGCTTCCCTCAAATTCTTCTCCATATAAACTTACAGCCTTTTCCTGTATTTATTTCTGAAATTGACTTAAGTAGAGCTCCATCTCTTATAAAGTTTGCACGCTCTACTTTTTGTCTGTTTCACATCAAATGTCTGAGAACCATCTGGTGCCTAAAAGCCTCAGTTTTCTCTGAATCAGAAAGTGAGGCAAAGATTGCCATGCATAATTCTACCTTTAACTTATGCTGACTAACTTTAAATGCATTTTAAGACTGCCATATTAAACGGAGGGAGTCAATCAAAAACATGTCACATAGTAAATATGCAGATCCAAAATAGAAATCTGCAGATAAATTGCCTTGACCCATCTTGGATTGAAGGAATTACATTAGACGAATATTTGGAGACCTCTCCCTGGCTCAAACCCAGCTCATTGTAATTCACATCAGACTTTTTGTGAGTCTATGTGGATTAAAGTTGATTTATCCCATAAGCCAAGCCTTGCGCAGATACATGTAAAAGTCGGACACTGTCTATGTAATTAACTTATGCCTGAGGGTCTAATTATTCTGGTGTGTGGAAGCATGCAGCACCTGTGACAGTGGATAATGTATGTGGACGTCTCCTCCCACTGGGTTTTGAGCTCGCGCACTTTGCAGTGGGTGTGGCTCTTTAGTTCCTCATCTTCGCTCTGCAGAAGGTGTTCAGCTGCCACCAGAGCCAGGTCCATTTTCACGCGGCCTTCATGCTCTGAGTGGTGGATTTTCTGCATAAAAAGGACATGCATGTAGTACTACTGAATAACATTCCATTCAAGTCAATTTATTTTTCTTCAGCCCTGAATCACAATAGCAGTCGTCTCGGAGGTCTTTACAAAGTTGTTTATTCGCCAACACAGACCAGAGACCAGAGTTCAAACACAAGAAATGCAATTTAAAAAAAATATACAAAATGTTAATATATGTCCATAAATGTCCTGGATCATCACTGTCCTTAAACTACAGGGAGGCCCAAATTGAGAGAGAGATCCACTCCTACGCACGGACAGGCTATAGATCCAGGACTCAATATAAAAATGTGAATGTATAAATATGGAATTATGATAAAAGATTGCTGTCTGCTGTATCCAGCGAACCGCACACTTTTACTTGTTTGGCAAAGTTAAAGGAGACATATTATGCAAAATCAGAAGTAATCCACAATAGTGATGATTCAAGTAAAACATGACCTTCAAATGGGCAAATGCAAGGACAGCTACTCAACTTCAACTGAACAAAACACGACTGAACAAAAAGAAAGGTTAGACAGGTTAGAAAAAAAAACAGTAGCTGATGTGGAGTAGAAAATGTGTCGAGCTCAAGGACACAGTATTATGCAAACACCTGCTTTACCACCACTGCTGAACAAATCATATTTCAGATGTTTAGAAATAACATATTCAGGTCACGATAAAGTTAGTGTACAGCAGAAAAGTGTGAGCTTGTTACCTCTGTCTCCCTGAGCCGTTTCTCCAGGGCATCGCGGGGCCCCTGGGTGTTGTCATTGGCCTTCAATCGCTCCTGAGTGCTCTGCATCCACGAGAGCGCTGCCTCCAGGTTCTCCATAAAGTCCTGCTGCTCCAGCTGTGGCATGGCCCGACTCGCACCTCCAAACACACAACAAACAAACGTAACGAATAGATCTAATTAAGAAGAGAGAGCCCAGAGATATGGCACAGGAAATGAGCAGCTTCAGAAGCAGACGAGTGATAAATGAGAGGGAAGTGTGAGAAGAACTTGACACAAAGCTAGCTATTAGCAAACAACAGACAAGATGCGCTCTGAGAGAGGTCTTATGACCCATTTTTTTGGTCATAAGGCCCCAGGGCTATGCCATGTGATTTGATTATTATATCACAATCATGAGATTTCTCTGTATCATGGCTCTTTCTAACTGCATGTTTTGAGGCGTTTTGAGGAGCATTCTCAAAAGGTGTCTGAAAAAGTCAACAATCATGATGCAATCCGAAGTGCCCTGATTACTTAATGAGTTTGCAATCACAAGAATGAAGTTGAAAAACACCAGGAAACTTTAGTATGCAGATGCTGTAGGCACACCCACCTGCTTGTTGATTTTAATCATCTTTCCCATGGTTGTATTTATTCAAAGCATAAATGAACTGCTGCTGTCAGACACACACACACACACTTTCAAGGACCAAACAATGGCAAAACGCCATGCATTTTGTGAACAACAATGAGTGTGGAGTGGAATGGCGGGATTCTGCCCCCAGGAGATGTAGATGGAAAACTAAGGAACAGAACTGGCAAAGCAGGCCCATAAACACTGAAGGCGGGAGGAGTGCTGGCCGTGCATGTACAAAGAGAGACATCTGCATTTTGCACTGAGGGAACATACAGCAGCAGGCACGGCTTTCCTGCATGACTCACTCCTCCCCACCACAACATTCTTTGCCCAAAATCTCATGGTTTCCACTTTCTACCTAGAACTGGGTGTACTCACAAAACAGCATGTATGCCATGTATGCCATACTCAACTTTTCATTTTAACAATACATTCATTCTCTGTTGAAGCATACATTTGGAGGTGACAGAGACTAATAAAAAAAAAACTGCTTTCAATAATAACTTTCCTCCTACTGCTGGTGTACCCAACTTTCAAACCACAAGAAATGCAACTACGTAATAAAATCCACCTAATTACTAAACAGTTTGATTCTATTATAAGTTGTAGAATCGGACTCAAACTAGGAAAATCTTAATTAGACCACATCTATAAGCAGAAAAGTAAGAAGGAGAGGTGTAAGGAGAGGTTCACTTACACATATGAAAAAGATCAAATGTTTTCTAATAGGATGCATGCTGGGTTCACATTGACACACTTACAAGACAATTTCGTTTGGGACAAAAATATATAGCTATATTACTGAACTCACTTAACTTCTTTCCCCGATCAGACACATTTTCAGACATCAATATCACATTACACAGTTGTGTGGCAAGACTGCATGTCAGGCTGGGATCTTGCAGTGACAGTTGCTGCAGGGGAGATCTCTGTTGGCAGATCGTAAACTTACCACTCATTAACTCACCATACTATTACCATAATCCCTTGCCACAAACAGAGGGGATAAAGCAACACACCACTATTTTATATAACTTCACCCCGTACATAAGAAACTTTTTAGCTGCTAATAGTATAACGTTAACACTGCATTCACTTCGCCATCAGTAAATCTATTCAGGGTCACAACCACAACAAACACATGTGATCAGTCTTTAGGCACGTCTTATTATAGGCGCTGTAATCTATGGGCAAACTGAGCTAAGACAGAAGCTACATTATCTTTAGCTAGAGAGACCGGTAAGTTTAGCTAGCTCAAAAAGGCTGTGAGATATCTTGTCCCAGACTGTGAGCGTGTGTAAAGACTCACTGGTTTGCGTTCATCAGGTGAAATGAAGTGAATTTGCAGCTCGTCCCGCTCAGAGGGGTCTGTGTACAGTAAGTTGTGGAAGCAGGAAGTCGAGCGGAGCAACTGTCATGGCGCCTTCAAAGTCTTCGCGGTAATCTCACTATCACTTCTTTAAACATTAAATACATCCACACAGTGCAGTTAGTAAAAATAGATAAATACATGTATGGATTGCATTTTATTCTAACTACAAATTTAATCCACGTATTTAATTTATAAATACTGTTATAAGATAAAGTAGAAGATTAAGAGGACGTGTAATATTTATCCGCTCTATTAATGTTTACAGTCTATGGTAGTCCCTCGATGTTAAGTTTAAAAAAAAAAGTGTATTTTTCTGATTTTATCACTTAATTTAACTTATAAAACAAACGCGGTGTTTTTTGTTTTTAACATAAACTGCATACTATATTTGTACATGTGTGAATAATACACATTTCAGTGTACCTGAATTCAGCACAAATGGCAACAGTAGAGTGCAGCTGCTGCTCAGTGGCACTGGCCATGGCCACACCATACCAGCAATACTAGTAGTCAAAAAGTAGTATTAGCTACAACTAAAGGAGATATTGTACAGATGCAATATACAATATATCCTCAAAGAATAATATCAGGTGTGAGATATGTACGTTTTCTAACATATTATGTAACTCCATTGAGTTATCTTTTCTTAAGTGTCCTTGAATTGTTAAGCTATAGAACAGTATGTAAATTAAGCATGTAGGTTATGTAACCATGTCACATCGCACTTCATCTTCAATACTACATTTAATTATACTATTTACACTTCTGCATATCGTATGTTAAGATGAAGAGATCCTTTATTTGTCACACAGCGGGGAAATGTTAGTGTTGCATCATGAGTTATAGAACAGTAGGAAAGAGGTGCATACAGCACAAGATGTGTGCTAATGGCACACATGTGTGCCATTATATAGGTGTTATGTACACTTTATTGTCCCCAGGGAAATTTGCCACACAATTACCAACCCCATTAAAGTTTTAACTTCTATTGTAAGTTATATATCAGTGTAATTACTCAAATGGATAAATAGCTACAGTACTGCAACAGCAGGTTATCTAAATGGCCACAGCGTTAGCTATAACATGCAGTCTAGTTTAAAAGCTTATAATGGATATATCTTTGTTTTGAATAATAGACTAGGAGAACGCAGCTGATGTATGCCCCTGATCCAAACAGCTTTATCCAAGGCTAAGGCTGAATAGAACTGAAGACTGCGACAACTGGCTTAATTTGGTGTTTACGTTTTTTCATGAGCATTCCACAAACCCAATAACTCAATGAAAATAAGAGATTTGAAAAGAATTCCGATAGGCCTAACACTTTTTTTTTTCAAATATTCACAGTACAAAGACCCTTTATATGAGTTTGAATATACAGCTAAACTATGTAATGCAGAACAAAGGTTGAAACGGAGTTCATGGATGGCTGGTACATTAGAAAAAACACATTCTAAAATTGTCTTTCTACTTTTCCCACCGATTCCTTCGTCTGTCACTTTGCCTGTTCACTGCACCTGGTCAAACACATTGTTATCATCTGCCACAGAATATCTATATTTCCCTGTGGAGATCCTTTTGGAGATGGCACATCAAAGTGTTGATTTTCTATGTTTTCCTCCCAACTTCTCACATTGTGACTCAGTTCTGTTTGAGCTGTTTCTGAGCTGTTTCTGGAGATTCATAATTAAACAAATCAGATGAAAGAAACACACATTTGCCAAAGACTTCATGATGCAGATTAGAGAGCCAGACTAGAGAATAAAACAAAAATCCAAATACAGGGTTTTCTTATGAGATATGAGCTCATTTCCAGTATGGACTGATCTACTTTTCTCGTACCAGTGAAGGAACTGCACTTCATTCCCTCAAATACTAAACATGTCACAAAAAGGTAAATGGTAAAAAAAATAAAGAAAACAAAACTGATACAGAAAAACTTTGTTTTAAGATATAATGTCATGACATCAATTACATTCACCAATATTGTTAAACCAAATACCCAACCGGACAGATTAACCAACATAACAATCTATTTGGTTAAACCAATATCGTTTGGATCGACCAATACTGGTCAGAACGATCAAATTGCATCGATTGGTGCAATGAACAAAAGAGATTGGCTGAAAACACAACCATAGTACATGTGTACTATTTACATTGCATTGAGTAGGTCCATATTGGCACCACCTTTATGTAAAAGCCTGATCCAGCACACCTTAGAAACTGAGCAGGGCAGGCTCTGGTTAGTACTGTGATGGGAGCTGCCACAGTGGGGCGGCTGCCAAACTGTTGTTGTGTCCTTAAGCAAGACATTTTTTTACAGTGTGTGGTGGAAAATTTCACTGCCTTAAAACAGCCACATAGCCGGACACAACCCTGCAGTAAACGAGGGACCAATGTAGATTGGTTGAAAACACCAATCTACAAAAAAAAAGATTTGACTGATGTCAAGCTATCAACTAGGTAAGGTTTAGAGTGGAGTTTAAACTTGCAACTCAATCAGATCCGCTTTTTCAGACAGAAAAGTGAATCAGAGCGGACCGCCTTCAAGCCAATCACCTCTCAGTCCAAAGTTAGGTACCCCAGCTCCAAGGATGAAAAGTAGTTACCTGTACATAAGAGGCTCAAGAAAAAGAACGCAATCATGTACTGGTTATCGTCTTTTGCATGAATACTAGGAATCATGGATGTTAAGAGCTTATATGTCGGTGTACAGACATACATTTAGCCATCACGTACACCATTCATCCTCTGCAGAGAAAGTGCAGATATAATAGGACTCTTGTAAATATCAGTGCCTCCCAGAGGGCAACAGTTCATCAGGGCTGAATCACACACATCACTAAGGCAGGAAAATTACAGTCACTGCCATGCACACTGTAAAATATAATCATATGGTATGTGTTCACAGCAGCCTCTGACACATTTACAGCAGACTCTGCTGCATCTTGTTTTTACCAGCACCTCTGTGGTCTTGGACGAGAGGTTTAAAGATAATAGTTTACGAGGCGCAATTTCACCAAGTGGTATATGCTGTACTCCTGTTATTTATACAGTACATGTGTGAGTAAACATGAATTCACCGTTATTATGCATGGAATAGCATTTGAGTGAGGAGTGAAGCCTGTCAAAGAC